ATCATACTAAATTGTATCATACATGTATTGTACATATGTTATACATATATTATATTTTAGGCTGGATGTTGCTAGTTGTTCACAGCAGCTGCAGGCATGCTGTTTACAGAGCCACCCTTGGTTGTCCACAGCAGCTTGGTATTGGACGAGGGGTGCAGGTTTGCTCTAAAGCAAGTTGCTGACAAGAGTACTTTTTGTGTTGACTTTTTTGATGCGCAAGCATTACTGACACTACTTTATTGCAACCAGTGCGGCTGATATGGGCTTTCTTTGGCGCACGGGGACATGACGCTTTCTTGCATCCCATGGGCTTTCTCCGCTCTTGCAACAATGCCCAGTTTCGGCTTCTTCTAGGCAGTTTGGATTCAGCTTGGGGTGTGAGTTCTTCTGCAGGAGAGAATGGGACAGGTGTGTCAAGCCTTGTCCCAAAATATGTGGAACACCCAAAATGTTCCTCCCCCATCGAATGGATAGGTTCGCCTTCAACGTAGCGAAACACTCCCAACCACTGGATGTTCACGACTATTCTTACGACTGAACGCATCACGACTGTCCTCACGACTGCTCTTCCCTCATCACTTGTTCTCTTTCTCCAATTCCGGGTGGTTTCTGGGGTGTTTCACGAGGGCTACCCTGTCCCTTTGAGCTGAAAGCAGGCACATGATATGATCGAAAACCATGTCAGTCTTCTGCCAATGACGCCAATGACCACTGGACCGGGCGAACTCAACGAACAGCAATTGATACCTGCGGTGGGTCGAGTCTCGAACTTAGCTGCTTCCCACAGAAACCAGGATCGACCAGATTCATCAGCTGGCCCAACCACCGCAAATTGTATACTTTCTAGTCCTCCAGCTCATTCAATCTCTCTCTCTCTCTCTATCTCTTTCCCTCGCTCCCTCGCCCCCTCGCCCCCTCGCCCTCGCTGACTTGCTATCGTCCTGGAGCTCTCTCTATATAGGTGGTCTTAGCCACCCCTAGAAAGTGACATTGATGAGTTGAGGCACCGTTGGTTTTAAGACAAAGCCCTAACAGTAGCCCCCTGACTCCTAGAGCTTCGCCCTCAGGAGAGGCAGCCACTGAAAAAGCTGTGACCAAGGCTTCGAGGCTTCGGATTGCGGCAGCGTGTGCAAAACTGATATCCCATGTCACACTTGTAGTGAATGAGGGAGGTTTCGCCCCCACTATATATAGATTCCTTGTGTGTCCATTCCCTCATTCCTTGCGAGTAGACGGTTTTTGTTGGTTCCGGGCCAGGATTCTCTTTTGCGAACAAGTGGGGTCAGTGCCGGATATCATACATCCCTCAATTGAACAGCGGACCATGGCTGTGGGCACTCTTGCTCGGATGGCCTGCACCTTTCATGATTGGCAATTGAGAGCGATGACACAATCTCTACAGTTATGCGTATTAAAGACTTATATATTTGATCAAAACTTGACCAGGCAAGGATGAGAATCGAGCTCAATGGATTTTTGTACACTCAGCCTGTTGCAGAGACCCATCACCATGCCCTTGCCGAATGCGGCACACCTCACATGGGACATTTTCATGGCTGAGACGCAGGGACCCAACCGTATTTTCTTCAACCCTCTCAGATGGTTTCGCTGGCTCTGTGCAGAACCTGGCTGGGGAGTATGATGAAGCAGTTGGCATGACAATGGACCCGTCGTGATCCCATGTGTGTGTGGCGGTGGGTTCTGTAGCAAAGGAGCTCCAGATTCCCAAGATAGAGGAAGTTTGTCGTTTTTCCACTTCTCGCTGTGCTTTTGGACGTCTTAAAATGATCTTATGCACCCAATAGCCGCTAGCCCGGCAGTTGGTTTCTCTTGCTTTGGTGAGGCAGCACGACTTCATCTTCTGTGCCAACATCGTAGGCGTGGGCTGTGAGTGGAGCCAATTTGCCAACAGCCTAATGTGGCTTGAGCAGGCAAAGGATTATATATATACTATACCCTCCGCAAAACTCTTGGCAATTCCGAAGTGTTGGGTAAAATGGAAGTTTGCCAAAACTAGTCAATGGAAGTTGAGCCAAGAGTCTTGACGCATTGGTCATCCTAGAGACCGCATGATTTGGATGTGGATCCCAAATGAGCTACTGTTCAAAGAAGAAGCTGAAATGGACTCTTATGAAGTCGATTGTCTCTCAATTTTCTGTTTCCAGCCAAGCAGTGGTCTAGTCTAGTTTGGCCTCCATATTGATTCTATCCTTCTCTGGGGGTCCTTCTGACTCGATGGTGTGGAGTGGACGGAAGCAACCCGCTTCAGGCACTTTGGGCAATGCCATCCAAGCGCTTCAGGTGCTGAGCGGTTGCTGGTGGGACAAGACGGGACAAGCAAAAGAACTACGCTCTGAAGACATCTCAAGAAATGGCATGTCATTGGGGTTCATCATCGACAGTTTTTTTGTCAAGGCTAGGACTTAGGAGCAGAGGTTGACGACGCTCTCTTTCAGGATCTGTAGGTCCGTCCATATTGGGAAATCACGGACACGGATTTTTACGCCTGGATTGCCAGCACTGAAAGCATCCCGCTATTAGACCACAGTGATAAGAGGCAGGATGACGAAGAAGGTGCTCCTCAATTTAGGGTCTTGGTGACGCACCCAGAAGTTCTGCACTGCCCCGCTTGCGCGAGGCCTTCCTAATCATCGCGGATCGACTCCAAGCGAGGTGACCTGTCGCGGGATCTGGGCCGTCCTCTCTTCATGGTCTTCATTTGCGCGTGAAAGCAGCATCGATCGTTGGTGATCGTTTTGTTGCAGCATCCCGCAATCCACTCGGTGGACTCAACAGCTTCTTAACATCAATAATAAGCGCGCCCTTAATGTGATCCACTTCTATTTGTTTTTCTGGGGGTACCCATTGTTGGCTTCTACCTAGTCGTACTTCTGCTACTTATATACTTTGTTTAAAAGCGGCAGGGCCCCTCGTCCGCACGTTGCGTCGCTGTGATTTGCAGGGGTTGGCGGGTCCTGGTGCTCTTGCCAGCTGTGGGGCTTCATGAATATGACCGTGAGCCGCTGCCGGAGTATGCAAACGGCACTGGCTGGGAGGAGCTCTTTGATTTGAGCCTTGAAAGTGAAAGCCGTGTGAAGGCCTTGCAAAGGCCTCGCTCCTGTTCCAGGCCCCATTAGCACACCGTGCACGGAAAAGTGAGCTGATGGGATGTAATTAGTACATTAGGACATGGGCTTTGGGATGCCCAAACTCGAAACCCATGGTGTATTACGGTGCTTTGACATGCCTTTTGGATGCCAGCATAGATTCGAGGCCGGTGCAGCTCTCTGTTGGTACTATCCATAATCGGATAATGCATCGGCACTTCAAGGGCAATACACCTATAGTTCTCAATCAACACACATTGAGGGTGGCCACACAGACAAGGCACGAGAGATGTGAAACATAGTGCTCGAGGTTGCGACTGAGATCTAGCTCATGTCTTCAATGTTTCAAGTGTGCCACCTGTTGAGGGACACCACCTGTGAGTCAAGTCAGGGATGGTCTGGTCACTGCCCTGCATTGGTGGTTTTGTCATCCCCACCTTGGGGATATCGCCTGGGAGATATCGTCTGGGACAGTGGTTACATGTGGCCACTAGTTCTACGATGAGTTAGTATGAGTTATAGTCATAGTATATAGTTCTATCTCTGACATGTGCTGTTTTCAGTCTACTTGAGGGTCACTGCAACTGAGTGGATTTTTGGACTTGTGTTGAAAAGCAGCTTGCTTCTCATGCAAACTGAGTGAATTGAAGCATGTCTGGGTCTGTGCTGAGGACTCCATTGAAGAAGATTCTGGATATAGAGGAGGCCATATGCCAAATGGAACACAGGAGGTTTTGGAAGGTGTGGATGCTTTGAGAAGGACTTCTGGTAGGCAGCTTAATGGAACTTCTGTGTAACCCTTTTCCTTGTCGCTTAGGATGGATTTATCCATCCCATCCACAGACCTGTGCCCCTCTCTGCAACACGCACACGCCAAGAGGTGACGGACACGGTGGCGGAGCGGCGGAGGGTCACCTGCTGGGAGGAATCCTGTGAGATCTCGGTGTGGTCGATGGCACAGGCGTGGAGTTTTTTTTTTTTTTCGCCTGGGGATGTTGCGCAGAAGATCTAGTGTTTGGCGTTGTGGGTCTCTGGGTTGGGAGGTTCAAAGGTGGTGCTTGGGTTGAAGTTACCCAAGGGAATTCTCACCAAGTCCTGAGCTATTTGTCTTTTGCATCTGCATACCAATTGTCAGTAAGAGACATTTCTGAGTACGAACAAGTTGCCGTTGGCACCTGCGTGATTCGCGGGTGTGTTTTGAGAGACTTCAGTCCATTTCTCGGGAGCAGACTGGGAGGGGGGTGGACACTGGAACGTCAGCGCACCAACCACCCGGCCGCACTCCTCAGCAGGTGCGAGTGCAAGATCTCCGTGAGGTCCAAGTGCCTCACGTTTGGATGGGCCCCGGTAAGGCGGGGGTCGCCAGCGGGGTCGCCAGCGGCTGGCGGGTCATACAGTGGTATGAGACATATGAGGCTGGTTGATACGGTACACATCAGGAGTGGCAGTGGACGTTGACAATATATTTTGGGTTTGATGAAAGATTCATCAGCCAATGAGTGGTGGGGAGGCGCATTCCCATCTTCGTTAACTCCTAGGGAAGAACCTCGCGGCAATCTTAATTCCACCTTACCTCCTCACACTTTCTTCCATTCCCTTTTGTTCCAGGAGGAGTGGATGTTCTCGCAGCTGTATGACAACCTGGAGTCTTTGGCCGGATCCACCTACGCAGCCCCCATCCGGGTCTTCTGGCAGATGCAGCGCTTCTCGCCCACGCGCTGTGCACCCTTCGTGTACCCAGAGGCTGCGCAGCGGATCAGTGAGCACTTGCAGCCCAAGCTGGTGGCCTCCGATTCTGGGATCCAGAAGCAGTGTGGGCAGTGGAGTGCGTGGGTTGCTTCAACGGTGAAGGCAAGCGTGGAGAAAGCCCATCACTAGTTCACTCTTGCTTACCAACTTGGTTGCTTTGAACATCAACCTTCCAGAAATCCTGAATGCCATTCTGTTCTATGCAGAAATGGGCACTAATGGGCGGGTTGGGTGTTTTCAGTTCCCAGATTGGTGTTTTCCCTTCCCGTGGTGTTTCCTTTTCCCAGATTGGTGTTTTCGGTTCCCGTGGTGTTTCTGGTTCCCAGGTCTTGGTGTTTCCAGTTCCTGGATTGGTGTTTTCCTTGCCCAGCTCCTGTGTTGGTGTTTTTGGTTCCCAGGTTTGGGTGTTTTCAGTCCTGGACAATGTGTTCCCTGCCCGGCTCCTGTGTTGGTGTGCCCTTTCACGTGTTTGTTTGTCAGCTTTCGTTTGAATTTCTGGCTACCATTGCCCACCGCTGGATTTGAAAGCACGTACTCGTGTCACACAATTAAACAGACAAAGAACACCGCAAAACCATCAAAGCCATTCGCTGGAAAACATGTCAGTTTGCGTAAACCCACTGCCGCAAAAACACAAGGTACCCGGTGACACCATCATAACCGCGCACTGTACGAACACACAGACGAAAGCATACAGAGCTTCATTTTTGGCCATGACGCACTGGGAGACCCTCAGCGAAGAAGACGAGGCAGGTGGTACAAAGTTATCTATCATGTAGTGTATCGCTCCTACCATGCCGTTACACCGCTGGTTTTGAAAGCACGTACTCGTGTCACACAATTAAACAGACAAAGAACACCGCACTGTACGAACACATAGACGCAAGCACACAGAGCTTCAGTTTTGGCCATGACGCGCTGGGAGAACCTCAGCGAAGAAGACGAGGCAGGTGGTACAAACTTATCTATCATGTAGTGTATCGCTCCTACCATGCCGTTACAATTTGGCATGTAACCTTGTACCAGGCCAACTGGTGCTGGACCGCCAAAGAATATTTGCGCCAGCACTGTGCCCTTACAGTGAAAACACCAGCCTGTAGCTTAATTGCAGCTGCTTCTGCTTACTTAGCTTTGCGCGGCTAAGTCTGAGCCGACCAGGTTGGATTCCTCCGCTTCGCTGTCGTTTGGCCCCCAGCTGCAGCAGTACTGTTTGGTTCTGCAGCACGTAGTTCGCTCTTGTCCGTGCTTACTGCTGTGCTGGCTGTTGCTGTTCCCGCTGTTCTTGCGGCCGCTGTTCCTGTCGCTGTCGTGGTTGTTTCTGTTGTTGTTGTTGTTGCTGTTGCTTCTGTTGCTGTTGCTGTTGCTGGATGCGGCTGCTGCTGTTGCTGCTGCTGGTGGTGGTGCTGCTGCTGCTGCTGCGGCGGTTCTTCTTTGCCGCCTGTCCTTCTTTGTCGCCTGTCCTGCGTTGCTCATTCTGCCTTGTCAGGATGAGCCGGTGCGCGAAGAGGCTCGTGCGCCAAAAGCTTGCTCTAGACTCCTCTACTCCATTCAATGGCATGTTTGTCTGCAGAGTCTGCAATCGATGTTTTGCTACTCACACTACAAGGTTACATGCCAAATTGTAACGGCATGGTAGCCGCGGTCCATGCCGGACACACTGTCGGCTTTGTTTTTACTTGATGAGCCGGTCCTGACCCAGGACGAAGTTTGCATCATTTTTTCTTGCCCGGGCATGGTTCGCCATTTTGAACGTTACCAAGATACTACATTGTGCTGCACTGTTGATGCGAAAATGAAAGTTGCCGAGCATGGGTATGGCGTTGCGACTTTCGGTCTCCTCACTCGCGACAAACTACGAAAAACCACTTTGTCGCGTGCTGCCCGCACGGACTCCACACCTGCTCGAACTCAAGGGTTCGTCTTTACAAGTCACACCGTGCCCGTCGTGCAAGCGATTTTCCATCAAGAAACGCACGGCAATTTCCAACGCTTATTCCGGGCCGTGGACAAGCTCTGGCAAAACAGTGCATCTCCACCCCGTCCATCGCTTGCAACTTTGCCATTCCAATTGCACAAAGATTTCAAAAAAGAGATTGAAACTGCCCGCGTCGATTGCTTCCCACACTCCCGTGCATGTGATGATTTCTTCCATTGGAGCCAAAAGCAGCATACGACTATGGCTGCAAAGTGCTGCAAAACGGTCTTACGAAAGGGGAAATGGGTCAAGGAACATTTGGATTGGGCAGTTGCTGCGGTGCGACTTCTGCGCTTGCTTCCCACGTTGCGCTTGTTTTCCCCTTTGTGGGCTGCGTATCTTCGTCGACTTACCGAACATGGAGAGCATGACTTGGTCGCTTGGTTACGAACCTATGAAAGGCCGCTGCCTTTCGCTTTGGCGCAGCAGTACGCAAGTTCTTCGCCACCCCCAACTTATGTCAGCTTTTGGACTGGCTTCGAAGGCACTGTGGCTGGCAGTGGTGCAGGCAACCAACCTGCGGAGGCCTTGCACGCACCATGGCAGCGTGAACTTCAAGCTTTGGGAGGTAAGGGCAACATCAGCCACGTGCTAGGCGTGATGCAAAAGCTGTACACGCAGCATTGGGAGAACTGGTATGACTGGCACAGTTCGGACCCTTTACGACTTTCGGCATCTGCTCCTCGCCTGCTTTCAGTTTTTTTGTTCTTTCGCTTCACAATTTTGCAGCACTCCGACTTACGCAATCATGTCATATGTCACATTCTCGGCGGCATAGATACAATCAATATTGCACTGCTCCTTGGTCACCTTGGATCCCGGCTTCTTGTTTCGTTTCCTCAGCTGCTTCGCGCAGCATAACCTAGTTCGTTTTGCCCGGCAGACAGGAGGTGGACCCGAACCTCATCAGCAGCAGCGCTCTGGCTCGCGCTGGCCGGACGAATGCGGCTCGCTTTGCGGAGTTGCCTTCGGACACCACTTTTACCATCATCGGTCACAATCCTACAACCGTTGCAATGATTGCAAACGAAAGCCGGTCGCCTTTGAACTTGCGCACTGCAACCGCTGGTGCGCTTTTGATTGCAGGCACGAACGTGTCCCAGTCCTTGCAGAACACCGGGATTCTGAGCGCTTCCAATGCGCTCAACCTTTCCAGCTTGCGGGCAGTTTTTCAGGCTTCAACGGGCCAAAGAACCTAAAGTTGGCTCTGCTTTCCTGTTCGTTCCAGTTTGGTCGTTGCAGTTCATGTCCTCAAGTTTTTCGATGTTTTTCGGCTTTGTTCCGAAGGCCGCCTATGTTCAAGCTTCATGCATGTGAAATACAATCTGCCACTCATACACCCCCGGGTCAACGCCTTGCTTGGCCCAGGACATTGTCTATGTCATTGACCGCGATGGTTCTGCTGCGTGCACCTGTGGCATTTTTGCTTTGCACGGCGGTTGTGATCACGCAACTTTTGCCGATAGTTTGCAGATCCGTGCCCGGCCGCCAAAGCTAGACTTGAACCAATTGCCTGCCACCACCCGGCAAAAGGGTCGGAAGCGGAAAGCTGAACCGTGCCCCCGCCAACAACGGCGCCAGCACAAACGCGCCGAGCAGTAAGTGGAAGCTTGGTCTGCAGGGCTCCAACTTTTTTTTGCATGCTTTGCTGCACATGTTTACGTTCATTTCCCAAAGCCACTTGCCGTCACGCGTCACTTACACATCACTGTGGTTAACAAGTTGCATTGTCGCCTTCTGCAGTCTCTCTCTACGGCTTGTCGGTTTCATGTTGTGAGCTTGCGCGCATCTGAGGCCAACGTCGACGCAGGTCGTGTGAGTGCTAGTTTCATGTCCGTGTGCGGCAGGACTTAGCTGTTGTGACGCTGGGGTTCAAAAAGATTTGCCCACTTCCTGCTTGGGCAACCATGCTGAAGCGTTGCTTCTTTTCCATTTGCTTGGACACCAATTTCATTCAGCCACACTGGCGCAACCTTGCCGCCAAGTTCCTATCGCTGTCGCGGTTGTTTCTGTTGTTGTTGTTGTTGGTGGTGGTGGTGGTGGTGGTGGTGTTCTTGATGGTGTTGTTGTTGTTGTCGTCGATTTTCGCATGTTGTTTGTTGATCGTTGTTGGTCGTCGTTGTTGGTCCTCGTCGTCGGTGTTGTGGTTGTTGTTGTTGTGGTGGTCTTTGTTGCTGTTGTTGGTGGTGGTCGTGGTGGTGGTGGTGGTGGTCGTGGTGGTCGTGGTGGTGGTGAAGGTGCTGGTGGTGGTAGTGGTTGTGGCTTTTGGTGGTTCGTGTTTGTTCGTGTCTTTACAAAAACTCTTTCGCGTTGTCCCGCGACAACACAAGACTCCCACCACTTCGCACGGGATCACAGCACACCCGACACGGGAACCGAAAACACCGGACGCGAAAACCAGCAACACTGGAGACCTAAACGCACCGAACGCGGGAACCGAAAACACCGGACGCGGGAACCGAAAACACCCGCGCAATTTTTCCCTCTTCAACGCAAGGTGGGAACCGAAAACACCATCACAGGAACTGAAAACACCCGCGGGCACTGAAAAAACCGAGCCGGGCACCGAAAACACCGCCGCGCGGGAACCAAAAACCCACTTGGGAACCAAAAACACCGCGGGAACCGAAAACACCAACGCGGGAAGAAAAAACACCGCGGGAACCGAAAACACCAATCCGGGAACCAAAAACCCGGAGCCCCTAATGGGCTTGGTCGATTTGAGCCAAGAACTCCTCCTGATAGCCATATTGCTATCCACAATCCACACACCTTGGCAGAGCTTCAAGCGCTCGACCAGCAACAAGACCAGGGCACCTTGACTTATTCCGGGCCTCCATTCCACTCGTGATGTCTCGATGTCTCCAATCTATTGTATAAATATACATATATATTTCTTGTGTGCAATCCCTCATGAAAGACTTGACTGTTCAAGATCTGAGCAGTCCAACCGACTGTTGGTCAGAGATTTTCCCATCAAACCATGGATTTCCTGTTTTTATCTGCCATCACTTCTGTGTTCTCGTTCCCACCTGCCCAGCCAGAGCTGTTATCCACTTCACCTTGAGGGTGATGTTCAATTCTTCAGATAACTCGTCCTAAATGCATGCTTTCCTATGATTCCTTCCTTTCCCCTCACCCTGTGTCACCCTGTGTCACCGTGTGTCGCACCCCCAAGGAGCCGTGTGCCTTCGTCTACGTGAGCCACATCCTTCGGCGCGACGGCCTGTGGCCCCTGCAAAGCGCCAGTGGCTGGTTCACGCAGCCCATCCAGGCAGCGATCGGCCGCGTGGCGGTGGCAATTGGGGAGCTCTTGGAGGCAACGGCAGGGTGGCAGGGTTGGGGGCCCTTGGGGGTTTGAAGAATCACATCGAGTTTTGCTTGGGATGGTTTGCAGGCAGACGCATTCTGCAACCTTTTCTTTTTTGCGCAACATACTGTCTTGGGATGCGCCTGATGGTTGGAACCAGGAGCAGCAAATTTCTTGCGCCAACTTCTACGTGAAGCTTCTGGGCCTCTCCGGGCAGGACGCGGCCACAAAGCGTTTTGCGCCGATAAGGCGCAGGCCCACCCACTGGCACCCACTGGCGCAAAACTCAGGAAGAAGAACCTCGGGATCTGTGAACACTTCTCAGTATTTTCATATTTTCGAGAGGGAAGCACCCTTCTTAATGCCAAGGTTTCGTCTCCGAACAGCGCAGGACTTTGTGGAGTTGGTGGAGCAGGGTGCCAGGGAGGGGAAAGTGGGCTTCGTGGCGAAGAGGCTCAAGAAGCGGAACTGTAAACTTTGCATGGCAGGAGAGAGTTGGACAGGGGAGCAGCAGCTATGATGATTTTTTCAAGAGGGGAGCATCTAGAGATGAACTGCGGATTTTGGGATTATTTTGAAGATTTTGCATGCTTTGCATTGCAGGCGCAGCTGGTTTTGGGATGAGAATCAGGTGTCACATTCAGTGAAGTGCCCTTCAAGCTTGATGGTTTGTTCTTTTTGTTCTTTCCCTGTGAAGGAAACATGGAGATTCTTCAGCGAGCTTCTTATGCCCCTCTCTTGGTGGCCGAGCCAGACACTTTCTGGCCGGATTTGCCTGCCAGCCGTTTGCTGGCACAAGAGAAGCCCGTGGCCTACTTGTATGGAGAAGTGCTTTCCAAGAGGAGGTGGGTGGTTCCATCATGTTCCATCCACAGCCAGATTTGCTCCTGCTAGTATTGCAGTCAGGCACCTGAGTGAATATCTTAGAAGTTGAAAGCCAGCCGTTTGGCTGGGCGACGGTTGTTCAGGCCAAGGAAAAGATGAGATTGAAAGCTAGAGTGTTTTTACTTTTTGTTTTTTTGTTTTTTATATAATACATGCATATTAAAAACATAACAATTTTGGATCATTCCGGGTGAGTTGAACGGGATTCACATGATGCTGGGAATGCAAATCATACAGATAGCATATCTAGCATTTTCAGCCAGTGAAGTCACCTGTCGTGCCGCACCAAACATTCCATCAGCAGAAGGAACTCCACCATGTTCTCTTGGGTCGCACTACGCTGGTGTGAATTGTGCGCTGTTGATTTGTTTGGTTTCCTCTCTTGGCAGGAAGATGTCTAGTGGAGTCTCCTCAGCCATGCCTCAGCAATCCTCCACCTCACTGAGTAGAATGAACCCAATGATTTTCAAGATCAATTCTTGAGAACTAAACAAAAGTTTTTAGAGAGCACATATGTTCGATGAAGTGGTTGATGAACCCAAACTTGCCAGAAACAACCATTTTACGCTGAGGGCACATCTCTTTCCTGACACAGCCCTTCAAGAGGTGGGATGCGGAGCTGGAGAAATACGTGGAGCCCGTGCCCAACATCACTCTGCGACGCCTGAACTGTTCAACCCCCCAGGTGGGATGGGTGATGCGTGTGGAGTGTTCTTTTCTTTTTTGGAGACATACGGATGTTGGTTTGTGTTTGTCTGAAGTTATGTGATGGTTCTGAGATTTGTCAAAGCGCGGAAGGTCTATCGAGGCCACTGTTTGGACGAACCACAGGAGGGTTCCTATGAGTGTTGGCCCGACAGTTGAGCTGAACGGCTGAGCGTGAGAGCCTCTGGGGCGAGTCGGCCGGGCGGTTGGCACCATGTGCACCTGTGGAGCGACGATCGGGTGTGGAAGGATTGTGTGAAGGCCCGAACCCAAGCACTGGGTGAAGTGGGAAGAGCAGAGGGGGCAACCTACACCCGCGCCGAACTGGAGCTGCGCGGGGTCCCGGGGGAGCGCTACAGCATCGTGTTCTTCTACTTTGTCAACATTGAAGTGCAGATTTAGCTGATCTTGATACCAAAGAGGAGACGACAAAGGACGATGAGTTGCAGACAGACCAAGAGCACAGTGATGGAGTGTGCCTGAAGTACATGAATTGCCGCAATGGCTTCTTCAATGGCATCAAATGCAGCGGTGGCCGCTACTGCATGAAGTGGGGGAGCGGTGGCCGTGTGTGCAAGAAGTACGTGAACTGCAACAGTGGCTTCTATAACGGCATCAACTGACATGGCAGCCGCTACTGTGTTTCTTAGGGCTTGCTGTAAGAGGGAGAGGAAGAGTCCTCAAAGCGGAGCCAGAGTGAAGAGGGCTTGTGTACTCAGCAAGCCAGCATGCCTTCAGAGCACGTGCGCCTTTGCAGCACTTCTGCAAACAAGTGTGTTTCAGGAAAGAGTGGAAGTTCTGCCACAAATGGGTCTGCTCATTTGATACGCCATGAACCCGGGCTCCAGCAGCTCCAGCACTACTTCAATGCTGAGAAGATGGAAACAATGCTGAGGGCTGAGGACGGCTGTAAGACTTGCTGGCGATGCGACCGCAGGGACAACGTAAAATGCTTCAGTTGGTTTTGCCCATCCAACCGAGTGCCGCCACATCCAACAGGTAGCGTGGTCCAACAGTCACCAACCTTGTCTGAGCGGCGAACAAAGCTTTCGCTTTCGATTCCGTTCAATGCAGACATGCAAACGGCCTACTCAATACCTCTTGGCTCTGTCAAGAATCCAATCAATCCTCATGTCGACCTTGTGGCCTCCAACGTGTGGCCAGCTCGCTGAGACAGCGCTGATGAAAGAAGCAGGTTCTTTGTCAGCAGTCGGGGATAGTAAGCACCCAAGGTGCAGGCCAAGTTTCACAAGCTGTAGTGTTTTGACAGACACTTCTTTTTTGGGACATCGATACTGTACATGTTTGGAATTCCAGCTCCAACAGCAGCAACTTATACCATGAAATTCGCTCTGCATGCTGCTTGAACAAATCCGTGGTAGTGATGTGTGGCATCATCTACGGATTCTGTAGAGTCCAATAGGAGTCATTGTTTTGGGGTCTCCCAGCATGGTGAAGCCCGACGATTCCACCATTTTGGACGTCCATCAACGATTGAATCTCTCAGGTGCTCACGAAACTTTCAAGTTTGGTAAGGCCCGATAAGGTCCACGTTCCTTGGACCAAAGGTTTGACATTGGATGATCATCTGGCCCTTGGCAGTTCAGATGACAATCAAAAGCAAACTTGATGAACGCAATGGAATCTCACATGTCGCTGTCGCCTATGATAATGTTTTGGACAGTTTCTACATCGATCCATAGCATAGCATAGCCGCAGTCTCCGCCTATGAGTTTTCATGTATTTTCAGCAAAACAAACAATTTCAAGATCTTGGCCACCATCTCCGGGGTGGTTTCAGAGAACTGAATGTGCCCATGTTTGTCTACAGAAATCCACAGTTTACCAACAAAAGAGTTGAGAGCTCCTCCTGGGGCGCAGTGGGTGCAGAGTCTCATTTGGGGTCCATTTGGTTCGCAGCCCATTGAGGCTTGAACCTCTTCAGCGATTTCAGTGCCTCACCAAGAAGGATGTCAATGGTGGAAGTCTGATCTGCAAGAAATCAGTACTTCAATGGAGAGCACCCCACCATTGATTCAATCGAAAACGAACAAGGGTTCCAGGTTTCTGTTTGGATTCCCATCAGCAAGAGGTTTGTCTATGGAGCTTCTTTGGATGGGGTCCTATTTGGTCCAGCTGCCCCAAAAGTTGCAGTCCAAACATGTGGTGTCTGCTGACACTGGTTCGTTTGCAGTGTCAGTAGAGAACCCGTAGCTCTGACTACTCCGGGTTCAAAGGTCACGCGCGTCACAGTGACCGAAAGGTGTGTCAACTGATAAGGTGATGCTTTGTGGATTGTGGAGAGGAGGTCTGACTCGCAGGCTTGACATTGATTTTCAATCTGGAATTTGATTTTGGACCATGAAAAGAAAGAATAGATGTGATACGGATTCGGATACACCTGGAGCTCTCAGGCCCACAAGAGGCGATGATGAACTTAATGCGAAGCGGAAGGCTTAGACTGCTCGGAGAACAAGGGTGAAACCAAGTTCTACGGATCAAGCTCCTCTGCAAATGCAATAGGTTTTGGTGGTCTTGAGAGCCATCAGTGAAATCCCCATATGTCCACATCACTCTTGCTTGGAGACTGGACCTTACTCTGTGATCATGTCCGACCTCAGGGCCAGGCAGGGGTGGCCAGGTGGCCTTCCATGCTTCGGAAGTGAGAGTAGTACTACCCTACTGCTGTCCTGAGAGGCCCATGTCTGAAGGGAAATTTGGGGATAATAGCGGATTTCCGTTCTTTTTGGTGTAATTTGCAACAGATTAGCCAAAGATACCAAATCTGTTGCAAACCGAAACAGTAGGCAGCAATCCTGATTGCCATTGCAACACCATCAAACCTATTTGTGATCACGATTCACGCTCCAAGTCATTCGGAAGATATAATCGTTTGCACTTTGTGCTTCAGATGGTCACAGTGGGAAAGTTTCCTGGTGCTTGACTGAGTCCCAGGGTTAGACCAGGAGATTGTCAACTCACATAGGTGCCCTCTCAGGGCCTGCATGAGCTACGTTTCTTACCCACGGACGTTTCTTCGCTCTCTCTTTTTCTGGCGCCTGCTTTCGCCTCCGGAGCCATCTCAAGACTCAAACATTGCCCCTCCGCTTGTAGCTGTGCACCATGGGAAACAAGGCCTGGATAGCAGTGTTTTACATGTCTTGCTGCACGAGACATTTTTCCCTTCGATGACTCAGCCAATGGTTCAGGAAGGAGCTTGACTGAGCAGCACAACATGCTATGATGCAAGCACCCAAGTTGCTTTTAATGATTTGTCCCCTGCAAGTCCTACAAGGATAGCGTTTTGCAAGTAGATGTCACACAAAGTTGTTGGAGACGGGGGATGCATGTATCACGTATCCACACGAACCAGTGACAAATGAATCATAGCTTGTGAGATGCACTGTGTCGCCAATCAGACTTCCGAAGTTCTTTCCTGGCGGATCACTACCCAGCCCCAGAAAGCGTCGCAGTCTCATCACCCCGTGTTTTCTTAAATCTCCAATGAATCATCAGCATGCGCGAGTTCGGCACGTTCAGTCCGCAGGTGGGAAAGGCCTGCGGCAGCATCAGCGGGCGTTCCAAGCGTCGCGGCGAGCCGGAGCCTCCAGCTCCAGAGCCCGTGGAGAGGCATACCAGGCCGCGGTCGGTCGGCTGGTCTCTGAAGTTTCTGTCATGCACGGGACACATGACTTTGGGCTGACAATTCTTGAGTTCTTTGGACTGCTTTGGATTGACAGTGCGAGACAGAACGCAGAAATGATTGGATCGCAGCAAGATTTGAAGGCCGGTCTTCCCTCGGTGGACTATGGTGCCAGAAAAGTAGAGATGAGACAAGAGGAGAAGAACATGTAGAAGGAGAGAAGGGGTAGGAGATAAGGAGTCGTTGTCAAGGCATGAGAGAAGCTTGGTGTCTCAGCAGCCCTGGTTTGGTGACTTCAGTGACCAACACGTGCTCCATCCACACCCCTTTAAGCTCTACATGTTGACACAGTTCGAAGAACCTTTGGACCACATCTCGACTAATACCGGGAGTTGATTTGCAACCTGACTTGGCACCTGACTTGGTGCCGTTTCTGCAAAGCCCGGCTCAATCTGTCGGGGCATTGTTTTTGACACGTCAAGGACGCTTCCTATTTCTCTCTTCAGCCAGCTTGGCAGTTTGACTGGCTTTGAGCTCGCGTCCAGCCTTGTCCACCACGCCAGCCTTGTCCACGCATGGCTGCGGTTCTGGTGGATTGATCCCAGAGCATCGACCGGCCTTCCTTTGATCCAATCCTTTTTAGTTTCAGGCGATATCCAGTTCTTCTGATTGAATAGCAGTCCCGCTTTGAATTGGGTGTTTGGCATGTTTTGCCCAGATGTTCCATGTTCCAAGTGCTCAAAAGGTGTGCCAGACCCTTTTTCTGCCATTTGCACGCAGTTGGGTCAGGATCAAAACCCCCCCTGCATCCGCTCAGAAGAGAAGGGGCTTGATGTGTGCATGCTTTGTTCATGCCACCATCTCCCTCACTTCCTATCCTCTTCACTTCACTTGATGCTCGTTCAGACTCTGAGTTGATGAATATCATACTTTCTTGGTTGGCTTGCTTGGTGAAAAGATTCAGTTTGCCGCACCCAAGTAGTAGGGCAGGTGGGGTCTTGGGGGTATCGTTGGAGTATTTTTTGGGTGAGAGATTGAGGGCATCCTTGGTTCAAGTGGATGACTTCCATCCACAGTAGTAAGGTGACGTAGTAGTTTTTATGTCCAGTCGTATGTTCTGTCTTTGAAGCTCAAAAGCCTTTGTGGTCAGACCTTCGAGACCTTTGTACCTCCGGACCGACTGTGACGCGAATCCACTTGACTCGAAGATGCCTACCGAGCTGTGGCACGCTGACGACATCATCAGGAGCAATGTACATCCATGTACATTGCAGACCCGTACACAATTGTTCCTTTGATTTTTTTAAAACCTATATATTTTACCTTCCCAATTTTCTTCCATCCTCTGTCCAATGCAGTGGGTGTCTGTCCTCTGCCAGGCGCTCCGAATCGTTGGAGTGGCTCAACGACTTGGTCGGACAGGGCTATGAGCTTTTATACTTTTCCGGCCGGGCGGATTGCCTGGAGATGGTTACAAACTCACTAAGCCAAGAGATAACTTTGCTTTGATCGTGGCTTTGACTTGAAGGATGGTGTCCATCCCCTGTCCAACCATCCAGCACAGACTTAGGTCCTTAGGTCCTTTGGTTCTTCCCAGATTTTCTAGAGATTCCCTAGTCTGGGGGATCTTTGGTCCCCCCCCCGCAGCTCCACAACTCCTTTCTTCGTGCAGGAAAGCTTTGGCCCAAGATTGACGAAGCGGTTCAAAAGATCATCCACGAACAGGCCACCTGTGATCGCGAGCCGCGGAAGACACCGTCGCCCTCGGCCTTCTGACCGCGTTCGCCCTCGGACGGCCTCACCCTTCGCCGGACGGAGGACCGAGGATCGCCCCGATGGGAACAGAGGAACATGATCTGGTGGGGAAACAACGGGAAACTGACGGGAAAACACGTTTATTCCGATTGATTCCTTTTTCCAGAAGATGAACACACTCCGACATTTTTGCTCCGGGTTCGGTTCCCGTTGAGAGTTGATATTTTTGGATTTTACTTCAGGCGGCCCATCGCTGGGCATGTCTGTTCGCCACTGCACAGTCCGGATATAAACTTTTTTTTGCATTGTTCTGGAAGTGTAGCGATTGCTGCTGGCAATCCAATTGAAACTGTTTCACCAGCCCATCCATACCCCACAGGTTATTGACCAAGTTGGGCAGGTCATGTTTTAGCATCGAAAGAACTATTTTGCCATTTGGGGTTCTCAGTTCTTGCATCAACATAGGCTTTGTCACAATATGATTCCTTGCTTGTCGCCCTACTCGTCCTTGTGGGTGTGGCAACATCAATGATGCCTTGCTTGTCTCCCTTGCTCGTCTTCCCACTGCTCTCCCCACTGTGGGCAGAACACACGCTTGGCAACTGCTGACTTTGTCGCAAACATAAGGTATATTGGAAGGGGGAGTATGTAGAGATCCTCTCATTTGTTCCACTTGCATGCTTAACAAAAACATGGTTTGCCTTCACCTAGTGTAATTCTGTGTAGGGAGCACCGGGCAGAGACATTTGCCTGCGAGGCTGATGTCGAAAAAGCCTGACAAACCTGTGCCAATTGTCTCCAACTCTCTTTCTGCTGCCTTGGCTGGTGAGGTGACTCCCCAGTTGCAAGAGAGCTTGCCTGGGCCCTTCAAAGGCTGGTCATGCAGGGGAAGCTCCAGCTGTTGAGTGATCGTTTGAGCTTAGAAAGACAGAGGTGTTTCGTAGAAGTTTGGAGTGTAGCACAACGCGTTGTGCGCAGTGACACAGGTGCGAGCGACCGAAGGTCTGGCTCGAGCTCTCTTTTTTGGACGTAGACACGTCCGATCATGGATCAAGAAGGTCCAAATGCCATGGCCCTGGAAATGGCCAAGTGGCTCGTAGCCTGGGGCAGACGCTACGACGCGGAGTGGGACGGCATGTACGACATGCTGCAGTGCCTGTGGAACTTGAGCCGATCCCAATACATCGACAACAGGAACCATGGGGTGGTCCCAATCGTGCAGGCAGCAGTGACACTGGCCCGCGACGTGGACGACGAGGATCCCATCCAGGGCATGCGGCTGCGCAAGTACATCGGCGACTTCTACAGCCCTCCGGGTACGGCACCCCGTCCGCTCATGGAAGTCTTCGGAGCGTGGACCACCCAGCAACTGGAGACGTGGCTGGAGGGCGCCTCGCGATGCGTGCCCATTGCGCGCCGATGGCGCCGTGGGGCACAGCTGACCAACTCATGGGGCGTGGAGTTCATGTTCTCCAGCTTGAGTGCCTACCTGGAGGACGTTCACCTCATCGGCCGAGCCTCACTGACACGTCGGGCGCGGATGAACACAGCCATCAGTGACGCCATGCAGGCCTTGGCGACCCAGAACAGCGAGGACCTCGCGAATGCCCGTCGTAGCCTTAACTTTGAGTCACCATGAGTGTGACCGATCGTGCCTTGGCCCGTATGAAAAGTACGCACCGCCGACATCGGTGTTGAGAACCCAGTCTGAGACGACTCGGACACACACGGACCATGCTGAGAGCTTAGCTTCGGTGACTTGGTTTCGACCGGACGATCGTTCGCCATCGGAACTCGCAGACAGCAGTTTGTTTGACCTCGCACCCTTTGTGCACAATACCCCTAGCCGTTACCATGGCCCTAGCAGATAGCTGGCTCACACTCAGAGATGCCTGCGAGGTGGCAGACATCGCCCACATACTCCCGGCGCTCGTTGAACATGGATGGACCACTCCGTCGCTCGTAGCGGCGCATCGACTCCAGTGGGACGCCCTGGGCCTCTCCACAACCGAACAGAACATGTGGTGTGTGCCGCTCGCCCAGTGGCTTTCGTCGACCCCTCAGGACCGACAACCTGACACTCGACCTGATCTCCCCAGGAGCCAACTCTCCGCTGGCGGAAGCCTCAAGCGAGCATTGGAGTCCGCACAGGCCAACCAGGCGGATCGGACCTTGAAGGTCTTCCGCGCCGGAGCAACTCCCATCCCCACAACAGCCGAGTGAAGACGTGGGAGACCATCGCCCGAGCTCGGCATCTGCCACCATGGCCCCTCACACCAGAGCTGATAGAGCGCGTGGGGGCGTCACTCAAGGCCGGCGGCTACAAGTCACAGCCAAACTGTACTTCAGCGCAGCTCCGAGAGCACGTCACCCGCCACGGTGACATCCCCATCGAGGTCGAACTGAGCATGAAAGACGCCATCCGCAGCATCGAGAGGGGCCTCGGCCCTTCGAAACTAAAGGACTCGTTCGACTTCACGCTGCTAAGGAACCTGTGGCATCACCCCGACTTCGCGAAGTTCGAGGACGACTACATCCTGGTGCTGAGTGGCTCTTGGTTCCTCATGCGAGAGATTGAGCTCGCCAACGCTCGGGCCACACACGTGCGGTTCGAGCACACAACATCGGCACACCCGACTGTCCACTGGAGCCTGCCGATGTCCAAGACGGACACCAAGGGTGAGATGATCGAGCGATCGCATGCATGTTCCTGCTCCAACGGAGTCGAACCCCTGTGCATCGTTCACGCCCTTCGCAGGCGTCTGTCCCAGATCGAGTTGATCACAGATCGGACACCCCTCTTCCCGGACGCACACGGGAAGACAAGGACGAAAGCCGACACCATCAAGTCGATTCGGCACATCATCCACCTGACCGGGACGGAGACGACCCGAGTCGGGCCGACCGGCAAGCAGCTGGAGAGATTCGGGGGCCACTCCCTCCGGGTAGCGGGATCGCAATTCCTCGCGGCACATGGAGTCGACACTAACACCATCCTCCTCATCGGGAGATGGAGCTCTCACGCCATCCAGAGGTACATCCAGGAGGCCGCCCTTCTGCGACCGTGCAGGCCGCTGGGCACACACGACGACACCCAGGCGCGACCCTCGATCGTGCCGGCTGACGAGTTGGCCGAACTTCGGTCGAAGCTGGAGAGTGTGGCCGCGAAGGTCGCTCTGATGAACACACCACCGAAATACGTGGTGATTCGCAAAGCTCATTTACCGGACCCCCGCGAACACGGGGCGGTCCCGGCAGAGTGGCGCACCAAGTGTGGGCGCCCTTACGGCCTGACACGATTTCGCAGGTCAGATATTTTGGACCAGCCGTGTCGCCAGTGTTTTCCGAACACCCCTGACGCACAGGGGGCTTCCTCCGAAACGGAGGTCATGGATCGCCGATCCGATGAATCCTCCAGCTCGTCCTCGAGCAGTGACTCCGAGTGAAAAGACCGGCAATCAGCTGCCGACGGCGCAGAACCTTCCTTGGCCATACCCAGCTTTAGTCCCCGAGGTTCGAGGATCCGCTGTGTGTTCTCCGGCCTTACTCAGCTTTAGTCCCCCAAGGTCCCGGGGCCTCCTCGTCGTTCGTTCGTTCGGACCGCACCGACGTGATGCACATTCCCGTACCACGGCATCGACTTGATCGAATGAGACCGACGCGTGCAACCCGCGCCCGCTGGCTCAGGCATGATGGAGGACCCGACCGCTCGCGCCCCGACTGGCGCCATGAGGGCCCTCTCCGCTGAGCTCGTTAGCCTCGCCACCTCCTGTGGCCTGCCGGAGCACCTCCTCGGCTACCTGAAGGATCGGCAGATCTTGTCCGCCGGATTGCTGGCGGCCATGGCCGACACCTATAAAGAGGTGGATGAGATGCTCTACGCCCCTCTCAGGGACGGAGTGACCGTGGATGGTCACGAATGGCAGATCCCCCAAGACGAAGGACACGTCGTCCGAGCGGCACTGCGATTCCTTTGGCAGCGGCGCCGAGCACAGGCGCAAGCAGACAGCCGCCCGGGGAGCTCCACGGGTGCACTGGCGGGCGCACTACCACCGCCACCTGGCCTGGCGGCCTCCGAGCCGGCCCCACCAAAGGCGGCGCCCGCCGTGCCGCGCGAAATTCCCCCGGCCGAACTCCAGAAGCTCTTGAAGTTCTACAGCGACACCCAAATAGCGGGCCGCAACCGTGACTTTCCGATGAAAGCACTGGTCGGCGCCGAAAAGGTGATGGCCCGCATCTGGCACGAAAAGTGGATCACATCCCAATTCACTCCGACACAGCTCCACGAACTGCTCGAAGCTAGGTGCTTTGATTCCTCCGGCTCGTTGAACACGCTCAACAAAGAGATGAAACAAAAGCAGCAGAGCCGGCTGACGGTTGATGAAGAGCAGAACACGATCGTGATCGAGGAGGAGCAGCAATGGAGCCCTAAGGGGTTGCTGAGCTTGATGGATGCCTTGGAGGCCATTGAGCTCTGTTGGATCCTATGCCAGGTGGGGCATGAACTTGATGTGAAGGAATACATCAGCTGGTGGAGACAACTCTTCAGATCGAGGCCGGGCAAAATAGAGCAGATCAAAGCCTATTGGACCGATGCCGGCTGGAAGGTCGCGCTCTCCATGCGCCAGGGATACCCCTTCGACCAGGCCACACAGCAGATCATTGACGACACGGCCGCACTCCAGGCCGCCTTGATGAAGGAGCTGGGAACGACCAAGCCTCCACCCAAGAAGCCGCAGAGCCGGCCACAGCACCAGAAGGGAAAGGGCTACGGCAAGTCTGACCGGGCGGAGACCTCCACGTGGGCATCATCACAGTCATCCCAGGAACGCCCCTGGAAACGGGAATGGCCACAATGGAAGTCGCAGGACGGCTGGCAGTCACAGCCGTGGAAGAAGCCCTCCGCTGGCAAGCAATCGGGCTAGGGACAGCTCGGGGCTCCCCCTGCACCAGAGGGAGTACCCGGGCCGAAACGGCAGAAGACGCAGACCACAAAGCCCGATGATCGCCTGGCGCGATACCTGGGCCCAGGCGCCCCCAGGCCGCAACCCGTGCACAAGTCATGGCTCATCCTCAGTGTCTTCGACGGCTGTGGCACAGCACATGCAGCGGCTGACATCGTGTTGGGACAACAACACATCTGGCACCGGATCTCATGGGAGATCGATGAAGCCTGCACGGCAATCTCGTCGACCCACTGGCCAGACATCGAGCACAGAGGCGACATCTTCGCCGACTCCCAGGAGGCCCTTCGTGACAAGATCAATGACATCGATCCCAACTGTGAGTGCGCAATCCTTTTGGCTGCAGCCCCACCATGCCCGGACTTCAGCCGGATCCGACCAGACGCAGCAGGCAAGGACGGCCCCGAGGGCCAGAAGTTCGACGGCGTGCTAAGGTGGTTTGCCGACTCGAACTTCATCTTTGGCAAGAGGAAGCTCCTGCGGATGATAGAGAACGTGATCATGGGCCGCAAGGCCGATTTGCGTCACTTTGACTCGGAGACAGGTGTCCCCGGGGTCATCTTTGACGCCCAGGACTGGGGACTCGTGAAGAGACCTCGGGTCTTTTGGACCGATGCCGGATGGTCACAGTTCAAAGATGAGGTCCTGGGATGGAAGATCAGCTGGACCAAGGAGTACGACACCGACCGCCTGTCGTTCGAGTTCGCACCAGACCAGGCAGCATCGATCCTCCCACCCCAGTGGAAACCACCGAAGTGCCTGGCAGAGGGCAAGACGCTCCCCACACTGACGACACCAGCACCAGGCCCCGAGGGGCGTCCAGCACCCAGATCAGTGAAAGGGAAGCTAGACTCCGCCACCTTCCATCGCTGGGAACTGGCAGGGCGGCAATTCGCCCCGTGGCACTTCAAGAGCGAGAACCTATGGGAGAACGAGCGAGGAGAACTCGTGACCCCAAGCATCCTCGTGAAGGAGCGGATGCACCACCTGGCAGACGACTTCACGGCACCTGCCAAGGAGGAAAGAGCACGCCACAAGGTGGTGGCGAACGGCTGGCATTTGGGCACGGCCGTCATCGTCATGCGTGACCTGCTTCCCTGCGGCCGAGGCGACTGTCCAAGTCGGGGTCGACCTACAGCCATTGGGCCACAGCGCCATGGACATCATGGCATCGATTTGGCGGTCCGGACCATTGGCAACGGGACAGCCACCGGATCAACCAAGAGATCACTGGATGACCCAGTGCATGTGCGTCCAAGAGCATTGGCAGCACAGTCATACAAGACGCCACCCAGCAGCAGTGGCCGACCCGCTCGAACCGGGCCTCCGACAGACCATCCAGCTATGGTTGCACTGGCACCCGTGCTTGCCAGAGCTCCGGGAGAAGTTGATGACAGAGATCTCGGCACAGGCCGCCGACCTGGAGGACGACCTGCAAGAATGGCGCCAGGCCCGGGCCGAAAACATTCGAATCGTGCTCGACCCCAACGGTCCAAACAGAATCCACTTTCCGCTGTTGTCGAACCTCCTGAAACGCCTCGGGTGGGAAGACCCGAAACTCCTGGACGAAATCCAGTCTGGATTCCCCGCCCTGGGCAAGATGAACCCGGGTCTGGGATGGAACAAAAGAGAGGACATGAAATACGCACAGCCGATGCGTTTCGATTCGTTCATGAAACTGAACGAGGAACACGTGTTGTCACGACTTCACCAAATGAAACCTGACAAGCACTGGAAAGAACTCCTGAACGAGATCTCAGCAGACATTGGCAAGGACCGGATGGTCGGACCCCTCACCGCTCCACCATCGTGGGGCATCCGAACAATCCCATCGGTGCACCACCCAAACACACAACACCTGCTTCAGGGACCCACATGTCACGTCCCGACTAGCTTCGCATTCTCGGTCGAGCAGACCGGGGCAGACGGCCTCATGAAGGTGAGGCGTTGTGAAGACTGGAAACGAAGCAGGCGCAACGACACAGTCGAGGGAGAGGACATCCCGCCGACACACCGGGTCAACACCTTCATAGCGGTGGCCAATGAGTTCAAAAGTCACGGATTCACCACACACCTGTGGGGAGCAGACCATGAATCCGCATACAGGCAACTATCAGTTGCCGAACCCAACCACACACACGTACTAGTCCGCATACCGGGGGGGTGGACCTTGTGGAAGCACCGATGCCTCTTGTTCGGCAGCGCCGCATCAGTGTGGTCGTACACACGCACGGCAGACATGATCTGTTGGCTTTGTAGAGCACTGACACTGTCACCCATGGTCCACTATGTGGACGACTATGCAGCCATCGAACCCGAATGTTCGATTCATTCAGGATTCACGTGCGTGCAGCACCTGATGAAGACAGTTGGCTTCAAGTTCAAGCCAAGCAAAAACCAGCCACCCGCACAAACACAACTCATACAGGGTGTCGTCATGACCACCGATTCCGTAGCATTCACAGTACGCACGGAGGAGGAACGAATGACCAGGATCATGGACCAATTGCAAGAACACCTCCGGAGGGGGACCATGTCATCAGACGAAGCCAAACGCCTGGCAGGCAAGTTGCAGTTCATTTCTGAGGCAATGTTATCCCAAACCATCAGATGTTGTCTACAACCCCTCTATGCACGAGCAGCTGCACCAATACAACATGCGCAGACATCACTAGGAGACGGAATCAGAGACTCCCTGGTCACCCTACTACACGTACTTCCCATCGCAAAACCGAGGGTTTTCAAGTTCGAGAGCCAACCATGCACCATCGTTTACGCCGACGCCTTCTTCCAGGCTGGCGATGAGAGACTGTCGGTTCGCTCGGCACTGGCTCACGGGGGATGGAATGCAGAAGCGGCCAACCTCATGGTCAACGGTTGGGGATTCGTTCTCCGGGAACCGTGTGGCCGTTGCCACTACGCACACGGCAGCATCCCTGGGAACTTGCTGGGCCGCTTCACAACTCGGAGGGCGTTCATCTACGCTCTCGAGATCCTCGCACAGATCGTGTGCCTTGTCTCATGCATGGACATGATGGGCCCGCTGAGCCTATGCTTCATAGACAACGAACCTGGCAAATTCGCTCTGCAGAAGGGCTTCGGCCGGGACGTGAAGGTCAACCGCCTGCTGGGCCTCATCTGGCGGTTCGTGGACGGCTGCAACCACCACCCGCAATGGGAGAGAGTAACATCAGAGGCGAACATCTCAGATGCAGTGAGCCGCGGCGATTTTTCGATGGCACATCGACTCCAATGGAGTTTGGTGCAATATGACTGGCACAGTTTGTACCAGCAACTTCTTCGGGCCACCACGTCTATGGACGAGGCCATGAAGATCGGAGCTGCGCTTGCCACCAAGGTCGGCCGGGATCCACGGGGGGCGGCGGCCGGCATGGCAGAAAACGCCTGTCGAGCTGCCGTGGCACCCGCGACCAAAAGGCAGCGCATGGGCTCGTAGAGAGAGTGATGCTTGTGTCGTGTAGCACAACGCGTTGTGCGCAGTGACACAGGTGCGAGCGACCGAAGGTCTGGCTCGAGCTCTCTTTTTTTTCAAGAGAACAGAAGAGCTGGCAGCTCCAGGCGCGGCAGAAAACGCCTGTCGAGCTGCCGTGGCACCCGCGACCAAAAGGCAGCGCATGGGCTCGTAGAGAGAGTGATGCTTGTGTCAGAGGATATCATGGTTGGTTCCTCCGAAAGAACATAAGCCCCACTCCGTATGCAGGTCCTTTAATGGAATTGAGGTCATCAACATTTTGATCACCAAGAAACAAGGTTGTTCGCAGCTGCTTGGGTGTTTAGAGCAATCCAAATCTGCATTCCTTCCTGCATCTCGGACCATCCATTGCCTACAGGATCTACAGGAAACCCTTTTAAATCCATTTATGTCCCTAGTAAACTTTAAAGTGCTACATATTTTTTTTGCAGGATTCCATCTTTTGCAAAGGGAAGCTTGTCACTGTAGTCACAGACGTCTTGATCCCAGCTCATGGTGCGCAACCCATCAGGGAGCAAGCCCGTTTGCAAGGAACACTACCACAAATATATGCGGACCACGCTGTTGTGGGAGTTTCTTCAGTTTTGGTGAGTTTGGACCATTGACTCTAAACGCCTCTGAGAAAACCACATTTGGACCGGCGGTCTTCCGCTTTCGAGAAAGACTGTTTGAGCTTTCGGAGGGACCTATTTCAAGAAGTGCACCTTGGGCCGAAAGACTCCGCAGCTGGGGCCCATTGAAGTCGTCGAGCGCAAGGAGAGCGGGCGGGTTGGTCGAATGTCGAAGAGGGGCCAGCGGGAAGAGGGGAGGGTGGTGTGTCTGATCCCAAACAGTATTTTTAGACTAGACAAAGTCTGGTTGTGATCCAGATGTTCCACCTCCTTCAGAAAAAGACGAAAGCAGAAGTTTGAATGTTTATCCTGCATATCATGCTAAGCCACTGCTAAGCTAAGAATCGCAACATGGAAGATGAAAGACCACAGGCGGGGATTGGATGAAAGACCGTGCTGGCGTTCTCCGAACATTCCCAGCAAATCTCTGTTGTCAGCCGGGATGTACTCAGGCATTGCAACTCAGGTAGACATCAGTCGAACACATATAAACACTACTTCATACTACTTCAATAGAGATCATAGACACGAACACAACACCTCATAGACACGGTCAATGCACGTTTTGTTTTTTTTGTTTGGATATGGAGTCAGAATTCTGTACCTTGCGGATGACCATCTACCATATGCGGATGGGGCACCTTTTCACTGGCTTTGCCTGCGCCTTTCGCTCGTGCACCCTGGCCACTCCGTTGTTGATGTGCACTGGAGGATGGGCTGAAGCTGATCCTGAACATTGATTACCAGTAACCTGGTTTTGCTGATCAAGCGATTTGTGCTTCCCTCTGTTCCAGCTGAATCCCTTCGAGGGGCATCGGGAATGTGCACTTTTCCGCAAATCCAAGGTCAGATGTGGATATGGAAATCTCTGCCGTTGTGGCCAGCATTGGCATCAAGTCGATCTCTTTGTCTCTTGGACTTTGAGTCGGCCAGCGCCCGGCAGCCGCCCACTGCGATGTCCGTTGCTCGCATGTGCAGAAGGCAAACACAAGAGGCTAGATAGGCCCTCCCGAAACGAAAGTGGATCCCCCGAAGCAAGAGTCTAGAGGAACACCGGCTTGCATGCGTCCACTTTTGAGGGCCCGTGTGTTTTTCGGTGGTGCATTTGTGGCTAGCGCTGCTTTGGTGCACAGACTCGCCAAGGGGAGATACAGGGAGGTCAACATGCTACGTTCGCCTTCGAGCAAACCTTCATCCCTTCATCTCTCCATCCCTTCATCCACACCTTCACGACAACTCCGCTTTTCCCCTAAGGCGAGGGCAACTGATGATTCGCTTGGGGCCTTTGATTGGCGAGATGCCCGTGGTCGGTGGGATCACCGCATACTTCAACGAGCCATGGTCTTCGGGTCTTCAGTGGTCCAAGACGTTCCGTCGATCTTTTAGGGCTGCAGGCGCTCGTCGATGGCAACTAAGGCATGGAGCTTGTCACGGCGAAGAATTTCTGGGACACCCCAAACGTATGCATCAATTTTTCCAGATGCGACGAATTGATCGCGGCTTCGACTGTAGGTGAACTGATATTGGGGCACAGATTGATCTTATGTATCAGACTTCCTGCTGTTGAAGAAAGATGAAAAGCACCACTCTAAGCGAAGAAGATCTCGTTGTTGATTCTGTTTTGCGGTTGGTGCAACATTTCCTCCATCATACGGGGGTCGGGGTGTTTGTAACAATTGGGCTGTCATGGGCTCGTGAACCCTTCTGCAGTCACGTCGTGACAGGTTTTACTTTTTTCTTGACTCTGGAAAACCACCAAGCTCCTAGTTTTGTCACTTCCAGATGTGCAGGATGAAGCAAGGTATTTTGGAATGTCTATTGGGGGATGGGCGTGAACGTCTTGCTTTCTTGTTTGACAGAGCATGTCAGGAGAGATAGTATGTTCCTGCACATTTCCTTTGACCAAAATGCAGTAGATGGACAACAAGTGGAACCCTTAGAAGAACATTGCTTTTCTTGGTCACGCATTGTTATGTCTTTGGAACAAGTGAGGACCATGAGAACACCCTGAAAGACCCTCCAGGAGACCTCCCTGCTCACCCTATCCTCGTTGCGTCGATTTGAGACGACCGGGCCAACAGCCGGCACCGCCGGACCGTTCGACGAAACCGTTCGCCGTTCGACCCCCCTCGGAGCCAGAACGAACGCCGGAACCGTCGGGCGATTCCTGGGAACGTCTGGAACGGCGGAAACGGCTGAAACGGCGTTCGATTTTGTTTTTCCATAGTTTCAATGATTTGATCCGGTCCATCCACTGATGGAATCCGAAAGAAGTGCAGTCTACTGAAGTGTAAGATCGTGTGATCTCAGCATCTCAATCAACCTGGGCACTCTCTCTCTCTCTCTCTTTTTCTTGCTCCCAGGACCAGCCTGAGCTGAATCTGGACTTCACCGGCCTAGGACTGTCGCAGAGTTTCGATCCGTACGGCCAAATGGTGTATCGAGCTCCCTGTCGAGTGTGTGAAGGTCAAAGCGACAATTGACTGTTGCTACTAAGCCAGAAGAAGCTTCCAAATCAGAATTCCTTTGGCAAAGCCGTCCTCTATATCTATATGGTGATTGAGATGGGGTTTCTGATCATATCTTCTTGGGTAAAAAGCTCCAGGAGGTTGATTCAACAGAGAAAACTGTCTGCAATTGGGTGAGCTTGGTGAAAAGACCCAGAACCTTGCAGATGCAGCTTTCTCACCGAAAGGACTTGCTACACCTACTTGCGTGTAGCTTGCTTGAGAATATTCTGACCTCAGTTCTAGTTTAGTTAGGGGCAAAGGGAAGAGCTGACAGACCCAGAGACGGTGATTGGGCTGAGTGGTTCTTAGCTGTGTCCAAATCTGTTTCTATATGGCTTTTCAAGATATCAGCTAATATTGACGTGCAATCAGAAAGAAAAGGGCTAGGCCAATGGCATTGAGAGTCGCGAACAAAAAGCTCTTCAAGCAGGAGCAGTGGCTGGGCTGCCCATGGTCTACGATGTCGTACACAAGCAGATCAATAGTGCAATCAACAACGCCATGGTGCTGCCAAACTGCATTTCTGCCTCTTGGCTCATTTTCTGCACGTTTAACGATGTTTAACGTGTGCAGCAGATTTTTCTTTCCCAAACAGTGTGCAGTGCATGGGGCTTGCGGGTGTTTCGATGGCATGTGTTGGGGGCCAGCCTTTGATCACGTGATCCATCCCCGAGATTGGCCAAACAGCCAGCAGAAAGGAATTCAAACAGCTGGTGGGCAGCACCAAGTGGCAAGTCCTAGTTCACACTCCAGAGTCGACTGTTCCTTGTTTCATCTCGGGAGTTGAAGTCACGGGTCATGACCCGCAAGTGACGGGATCTCCTGTGGATTTCTTACCCCATCAGTGGACATTTCGTCGATTTATCAGTGGACACGTGAAGGGTATCTAGCGCCACTTGGTGCGAGACTTGCCACAGGAAACGTCGATTCACAGCGATCCGGTTGTGCACCAGGAAGGGGTGCTAGCACCGCAAACTTAGCATACAAGCCCACTGGCCCTTGCCCGTTTGGGTGAAGTGCCACAAACCTGGCTTGGCTGCATCCTGTCTCTCTCATACTGCTGTGTCCCATGCTGGGCAGGCAATCCGGGGCACACTGAGGACCAGATTGAGCGTCCGCATGGTCAGTACTCGGAATTCGTGGCTTCAATGAGTACAGCTTGAAATGGCTTCAAGGTTTTGTGACAAGGGTTTTTCCTTTGTGAAGAACATGTGCTGTCAGCATACACTGTCACAACGTGTAACATGCCGTTTCGCATTGTTTCGCCTTGGCACCTCTCAAAACGCAGGAGGACTACTGAACCAACTGGCGTGTTGCATTCCACATGTCACTGCAGGTTCACAGTCTACAGACAAGGGTCTGTACCATGCGATTTCTACCAGTTCTGCGGGAGGCCGTGCCGACACAGAAATCTCTCGGTGTTTGGGTCTAATTACTTTCCTGGTCTATGGGGGCTTTGGGCGGTATCCTATGCTTGAGCTGTACATCCTTTGGTTGCCTGCTTTGGGGGTCGAGTGTAGCTGTTATCCCCTCTCCTTTTCGTTGCTTTCTTGTTGGGGGGGGTGTGATCCTCACAACAAGCCCACCCACAAGCTTCAAAAAGGGCATCCACATTTGAGCTTCTACTTTCAGGGGTACTTCTGAACCTCATCCTTCCAACCCCAAGGAACGCACGATTTGCGAGTCGTGAGATCAGGTTCCGCTGGCCACCCCAGAGCAGGGTGTGGATCCGGCCTTGCTGAAGAAACCGAAGCCCTTGGCCCTCCTGAGGGCTCCTCGATCGTAAGATGGGTTGGTTCCGCACAGCAGAGAACCGTGCTTGGCTGAAGTGATCATATTGGCA